GTCACATGTAATGAAAAGTCTCCTATAAGTTTGCAGCAACAGCAATAACAGGGACTAGAACAATCCACTCACCTCTAAATATCTGGCATCTCCAAACATTCACATTGCAAATCTTAAACAGAGTAAGCCTGATTTTATACATGGCTGGACCTTTCATTATAAGCTGGATACATAAATATTGATATTTACAATGGCTGCATTTAAGTGCAGGAGGTACCATGCTAATGTCTTGGTAAACTTCTTGGAAATGTCTTGCAACCAAGGAAAAAAAAAAATTACCTTTCATAAGGACTTTTCCCTTCCAAAAATTCATGGAGCTTGAGTCTACACAAGTGCTGGATATAGCAGAGCAAGCCTGTCAGTGTGAATAATAAAACATCCAACACAACTGTGTAGCAAAAAATTGATTTGTGTCAGGAATTTAATGTCTAAGATTGTGAATCCCATGTGCTCAGGCATTTCCTTGCCCTTTGTTACAAAATAAAATTTTATTATTTGGTGTAAATTTAAGTAACTACTAAAGTACAAATTTACCTGTTCCAGTCCAGATTTTCTTACAGTTCTTTTCTTATTCCTGTTTAATACAATCTTTCCATTTTCAATCATGAACTCATAGCCTTTCCTCTGGAAGTAGATGTCACACCTTGGAAGAGTGCTTGGCTGAACCTATGAAGCCATAAAAGAGGAGCAGCATTGTCTCAACAGTGGTGAGCAATTAAATGAAAATCCACATTCTTAAAACAAGATCTATTATCTTCTGGGAGAAACTCTAAACTGAGGCCCAGCAGCTTCTGGAAACTTTTTCCCTCACTCCCTTAAAATTAACTTGCACTTTTCCCTCATAAGCTATTCCCCACACATCTGTTTTCCATTTAATTACTGGACTGTAGGATAATTACTGAATGCGATTATGGATAAATATTTGTAGATGCAACCTGAAAATAAACATTTTTTTTATTATTCCTTACCTAGAGTTTCTGTACAACATGCCAGAGAAAAAATGTTAGCAAGAGCATAGACAGAGGAAGGGATGCATTCCAGGCTTGCACTCAGGATGGGGAACAACTACCCCCATGTTGAAGGGGGAAAAGAATAATTAATTTTTCTAAAAACATTACAGATGGATGCCAAATTCTTGAGGAAATTAGGCCATAATCAGTGCCTTTATATAAGGCAGCAGGAATTAGTCCAATGAAGCAGAAAGTAATTTGATTCTTCCCATGTTGAAGATTCCCAGAAATAAAACATTTCGTGAGAGCTATTGGCAACTCAAACACTTTCCTCTAATTTAAATAATTAAATTAATTTCTCTAATTCATGCTAGACCAGCCTGCACTTGAGAAGCAGCAAGGGCAGCTTTGCAGGTCATACTGTGCTGTACTGACTACCCCTCTTTAACAGCCACAGTTATGGAATAGTCATGTCCATGAAAAACAAAAACAAACTGATGATGGCTGAGGGACTTGCTTTGCATTTTCCTTCTAAAGAGCTGCTCTCCAAGCAAGGGCTCTCCTCCTCAGCCTCAGCTCCCATCTCACCACCTCAATGATCCCCTCTCAGTACAACATCTAAAATATCAAAAACCTACCAAGGGTGCAGAGCCAGAAAGGGGCTTTGCATGCTCAGCTTCATAAATATAATAATCCAGGGGTAGAAAGAAGTATCCTGGAGCTGGCTCATTGCACTGGCGGCTCACGATGTTGGGCAGACACTTGCACTGGCCATCCGTCAGGGAGCACCTACAGGAGGAGTTGGCAAAGGGAGGACATCAGTGTGGCACAGCTGGGCCCTCACAGTATGAGGACAGCTCAGACCCACCCTCGTTCCACCTTTGCTTAATATCTCCCATTGATGGATTACCCCCATTACTAAACTTCTTCCTATCACCCACCTCCTCTGTTTCTGATGCTGGATTTATTCAATGCTACTTTTCCATGCCTTCAGAGTCCATGACCTGCTTTGTTTTTGTCTGTTCCATACCTGAAGCACTGAACCTTTTGTTTCCTGAGCACCTGTTACTGTCTGCTCCTGTATAATTTCTTGTATCTTTTTCCATAAGAATCACTGTATCACTATCCTTAACAATCTGTCACCCACAATTATGGAGGCAGGACATGAGATCAGAAGGACCTTTGATGTGATATGGAATGTTTTAATATACTTACAAGCATATTTAACACACCAGGTGATTTACCTGTTTACAAGGAGCTGCTCTACAGCATGGACTGTGTGCTCCTCTAGCTGAAGTCTAACAGCAGTAGTGAAGACCACTGCCCAACAGATTTTTGGAGGAGCCCAGCTGAAACCAGCCTTGCTTCTAAAATTATATGCTTGAAATAGGAGCCAGAAAAAAAATTAAGCATTTAAGGTAGATGTAGGAAGCTAAGCTAAAAATGTTATCTCTAAGTTCTAATTTCTAATAATATTAGGGCCTCTGGTTCTCTCAAGGCATACATTTTATATTTCATATTAAACACATATTGGCTCAACCTGATTTAAGGTTGCCTTCAAAAGAAAGGAAAATCCCCTTACCACAGATAAATTTCCAAGATCTCCACCCAACTTTACACTGTTTGCATATGATGAAATTCCATCTACATTCTATTTTCCTATCTGTACTGTGACTGTATTAACTTAACCAGAGAATCTAGCCTAAGAGTTTATAAAAACTAAAACTAAGAAAGAACTTGAAGAACTTTAACTTACAAGTTATTCTGGGATCCACCAATATCACAGTCACATGGAGAACAGCCATACAGGCTGTTGCCAAGACCCCAGTATCCTGCCTGGTATAAAAAGAAAGGTTCTTTTATGGCAAATATTGAAGTATGCAAAGCAAAACAAAACTCGTTCTGCTGGATGAACAGTGCTCTGGAGCACTACTGTGCTTGGCCATGGGAGATTGCTTCTCTTATGGGATAGCAGGGGTGTTCAGACACTACAAGAGCCAGATATTTACCCACTTGTAAAAGCAAATTGCTCTTTTTTTCTGTAAATGTTCTGAAAAACAGAAAAGATGGGTCAAGGACATAATTTTGCATTTCCTTTCCTTCCTGGGAGTGCTCCTCCCCCTGCAATTTGATTGCACAAATGTTTGGGATTAGTGAAAGAGAAGCAGACATGTCAATGCAAAATGGGAGCATACAGCTATAAAATTATTTTGAATTTTGACTAATTGTTTACTTTTTTGGCAATGAAAAGGTGTGAGATGGGTGAGACCTCCAAAACCACATGCAGAAGCAAAACCAAAAGCTGAGTACATACGAGGCATTTTTCACAGCGTTGCCCTGTGGTGAACCTCTGGCAGAGGCACTCTCCCGTGGCAGGATCACAGATGGAGAAGGGCAAACTGCCCAAAGGATTGCAGTTGCAGGCTGCAAGGATGGAAAAGTGCAGTTACCTCTGCAGGCCCCAGTGATGGCAGCAGGACTGGCATTTACATTAGATGTGGCATCAGCATGACAGGCAGTCTCTATTCTTCACAAAGGCACTCTGCAAATGAATGTGCCCTGGCACCCTCCAGCCCTCAGACTGCCCTTGGAAATGGACAATTTCCTTGGTGGGTCCCTCTCTGGGGGGAGCAGAGGCACTGGCAGAAGGCCTCTGTTGTGGTTTGCCAAGTGAAATGAGCTGATCTACACTGAAGTCCTTGTGTGTGGCTGAGCACCTGGTGTGGGCATAATGTCCTCATAAACCCAGACTGCAGCTGGGTAGAGGTGGGATGTGTTTTCACCAAGCCTTTCTCAGAGGAATGGTTGGCTGGAAATTCTCTTGGCAAAGCAGAAGCTCTGGTCATCTCAATATCCCTTTTCAATTAAATTACATATTTAACAACTCTTCTATTAACAAAGCCTGATCCGTTATATTATACTATGCATTCTGTAAGTGATTTTGCATTGTTTGTCTTGGATGCTGCACTAGAAACCTTGAACTATGTTGATGTTAAATTACAGTAGGCAACTGGGTATTTTCTGACTGAAGCAGAGCATCAGTGTGGATCTGTGCATTCAACTAACCTCCATGCCTTAAAAATGCTTTGGAAAGGAGACTAGAAGAGGTGGTTTACATACGCTGGCAGCCCAGGGGGTCGCTGCTGCTCAGCCCGTAGTAGTTTGCCCTGCACTTGTCGCAGCGAGCGCCCTCCACATTCTCCTTGCAAGGACACCGGCCCGCGACCGTCCCCAGCATGGGATCCGTGTGGCTCTCACACACACCTTCGTGCAAGGTACCCTCTGGGTCACAGTTGCATGCTACAGGCAGGGTCAAGGAGACACATAAAAAAAAGCACATGTAGATGTAAGCATGGAAACGCAATTACAGAGATGCTGGTAATCTGCCCTCGGCTCCTTCAGGACTTTGCATGCCAATCAATTGCTGCAATTAAATAACTCTCAGAGCATTTTCCACATCCTATGTTAATAATGAATTTAGGTAATCTTTCAGAAGAAGAGCTCTCATGTCTGAAAGATTACTTTTCTTGCATATGGCAAGCATCTAGCAAAAGTTATTTACTCCTCTCATCATTTTGGAGCCTCTTCTGCAATTACTGAAGGTCACAGAAACAACATCACTACTGCTATTCATATTTATATTGACCTTGTTCAAGAAAAATTATAGCTTTGCTGGATTTCTAAGCTCTGTTTAGCAAGGAGTTGGAATATGCTTCACCTTTTACAGTGCTGTCATGCAGCTACTTAGTAAGGCAGTTTGGATGTTACAGGTTTGGTAACATTTTTACAACCATGTGGACATTAAAGCATGGGGATGGCCATAGGGCTCAGAGGAAAGGGAACCAGAACAACACTGTTTTGAGACATTCTTACAGAAGTTAAAAAGGGAAGCTTACGGAGGCATGCCCGAGGATCTGAGATGACTTTGAGCGGATCCTGGTAAAAGGAACGTTTGCACTTGTCGCAGTGTTGGCCGGTGGTGTTGTCCTGACAGTCCTCACAAACGCCACCGCTGACCCCACCGCTGGCCTGGTACACAGCCATGTCAAAGTGGCATCTGCTGGAGTGGCTGTTGCAGTTACAACCTGAAACCAAAACAAACAGTGGGGTATTTCACACCATGTAAATATTGTGGTCTGGCCACATTGCTGTCTACACCTAACACAGGGTCACTGGTAAGTTGTATGATTTCAGTGTCCAGCAAGATTATTCCTAGGCCTTGTGTTTTACAGCTGGGGGGAAAAAGTTGGAGTCTTGTGACAGAACTGTATCTTAAACTTGGAAATGCAGGCGAGTGCGCCTGATATGCAGTGGGGAACACTGCCCTGCTGAAGAAATCTCTTGTTGAATATTTGTTATGGACAAATACATTTTTCTTGTGTATACTACATTACTCATTATTGTGGAGATAAACAATTTAGCCTTGTCTAAATTCTTCCACTCATGAAAAACACTGTGCAAACCAATGAATGATCTTTTTTCACTAGCTGGTTTTTCCTCTATTGCTTTTTTTTCCCTGTATGAGGAATAAGAACATGGAACAGCTCTTCCTCTTGTAGGATAACACAGCACCTACGGATGCAGGAATTTGTTTTTCTGGATGAGGCATGAAAAAGTCTCCCTCCCAGAAACCTGGCCATCCCATTATGGGTTGGACTAGGATTGTGTCACACCCACCCCTGGCTATTAAAAAGGAAAATATCATGTTTGAGTTACGTTTGCAAGCATTATCTTGTGTCCCTTCAGCTGGCCTCCATGGAGCATCATTGTAGAAATCTTTACATCTTTCACAAGACAAACCTTCAGTGTTATGGTGGCAGATACATCTCCCATGGACCTGTAATGTGGTGAGAAAAGAGAAGAGATAAGGTGACGAAAGAGAGAAAGAGAGAAAGAGAGAAGAAAGAGAGAAAGAGAGAAAGAGAGAGAGAGAGAGAGAAAGAGAGAGAGAAAGAGAGAAGGAAGAAAGAGAGAAAGGGAGAAAGGGAGAAAGGGAGAAAGGGAGAAAGGGAGAAAGGGAGAAAGGGAGAAAGGGAGAAAGGGAGAGGAGAGGAGAGGAGAGGAGAGGAGAGGAGACATATCTGCTTAAGGTATGTCAGCAAGATCAGGAAAATTTTAAGCTCTTTGGCTCCCTCAGCTGACACAAATTTCAATTATTTGTGTACAAGGTCTGGTGAATACCTGCAAACGTTAACCAAATAGTTTTAAAGCTGCTGAGCAACATTTAGAAAAAAATTACGTACAGATATATCAAAGGAACCTTAAACATTTTAGATTCTCTCTCCCCCTATATGTATTCATAGTGAGATAAGTATTTTCCAGGAGAAAAAACTCTCATTCCCAGAGGGAAAGAACTTGCAATCACATTCCTGGAATTTTTAATCCATTTTCATGGATTATTTAATTCTATTTTTCATAGCTCATCTATTTCATGGCTAGCTTTGCATTATCAACTGTTTTTTGTGCCAATGCCTCCTCTCCCACTGCAGAGCCTCCAGGCCCAGCTGGAGTGTGGAATGCACCCAACAAGTGGCCATTCAAGTCTGCACATGCCATAGGCTACTTAATGCATTACATTTGCGCCATTACAGCTCTGGAATTTTGCTGCTATTATCAACATGTCTTGTCCCAGTAGCTTTTGAAACACCACAGTAGTGCCAACAAAGACAGCTTCTGTGCATTCCAACCCCGGGTTTTAAAGGAAGAGTCTGCATTGGAACGTTTAACAACTAGAAGTTGCAAATAGTCAATCCAAAGATTATCAGAGATATTCCTTCTGCTCTCTACCTCCATCTCTTACTCTTATAAAATAACAATCGAGCCTCCCCTTTTAGAGACAGAATTAAGGACGCACCATCCCAGACTGGTGGAAAACATCCCCCCGTAAGTTCTGCATGGAATCACACTTGCTGGCATGGCCATTGCAAAAGCAGCTGCCCCGCACAACCATCTCATAGATGGCATAGTAGTACTTCTCAAGGGGATCACTGTGCCTCCTCCCAAGCAGAGCATCTCCAAGGGTGTGCAGTTTAGTAAAATTGATCCTTAGGTTTGTCAATGTAATGAGATCTGGAAGGAAAGGAGAGCAATCAGGAGCCAGAGTTCAGTCTAAAATGAACAGTATGAAATCTTCAGTGTGAATCAGTCATCCAAGAATTTTCCTGTAGTGAAGAAATAATGAAAATGATCCACTATTGGCCAAGACCAGTAATGGCTACAGTAGCAGTGCAGGGACCCACTCCTGGCACGCAGTGTTAACATGTAAGCATTAGCGTCCTGCTTGGTATGGCTCTGCATTTTCCCAGTCGCTGTCTTCATGGGTTCATGTGCATCTCTGGGACTGCTCTCAAAAAGCAGCGTGGATTGGGCCTGAATTCAGAGGGAAAGACAGTTTAGCTCCATGGATGTGCTCTGCAGAGCTTTGCTGCTTGCCCCCAGGGTTAGAGAACAAGGCTGGCCCATTTAATTTATTAATACAATGTCTCCCTAAGATCTTTAGGTACCTAATTTTCAACATCATTGACTTAACACCACCTGACCTGTTGGCCCTTTCAGCATACAAAACAACCAATACCAGCAAAGTGTCTCTGGATAAAACATGCAGGGTCCATACCTTGGATATACGGCACATATGGATTTTCTATTTCAAAGTTGGGATCCAAAGCTTTTAGAACAACCTGCAAAACAAATCAATAAAGTTCTAGAGATGGGATGAGCAGCCACCAAAGGGATCAAAGGACAGGCCTCTGCTTTTAGCAGACACAGACACAGACAAGAGACCTTCAGTTCCATATATGATTTGAACTCATACAAACAGACACTTTACAGTACCTCGCCTTCAGTGGAAGGCTCGATGTCTGAATATCTTGAATCACAAACAACATCTTCAACACTTTTTGCTGGACCAGAAGAGATGTTGGGAAAAGAAGCAGCACAATCATGTGCAAAATATCTGAACACTTTCCAGGTCTGACCAAAATCAGCAGAGCGCTCAACCAGCATTGCTGCAGGACGAAATGTCTGCAAGAAACATTTCAAGAATTCCCTAAGCAGGCATTAATAAGACACCTCAGGGGTTGCTACATTGATATTCCCCTTTGAAGGATGCTAAAATTTTGTATTTGAGAGCTTATAGGCTTGTTACAAGTACTATAATGGTTACAGGGGTCTCTGAAAAAGCTCATTAGAACCTCTCTCTAGCAAATGGGAAAGGTAACATTTCATATAGATATGTGATTACTTTCTAAGTAAGGAAGTTTACCATAACAATATAGGAATTTTGTACAAAAGAAGATTGTAATCATCTGGATCATAATAGATACTCATAAGCTGAACTAAATGGAAAGAACAACTGCAGTTTAGGTATGTCCTACATCTTTAGAGTTTAATTTTGCAAAGTATTTTTTCAGTTTTAATTCTTGGATTTATAGAAAATAGGACCAGAAGGCTCACAAATAGGAAGCTGTTCATTCTATTCTCTGACCCTAAGGCAGGTTCAACTATAATTTAACCATACTTGACAGGTGTTTATCTAACCTGTTCTTACAAACAGAGTTTTCATTGCCTCTCTAAGCAATTTATTCCTGTGGTTAAGTAATTAGAATATAATATTGCATAAAAGCTCTGGTAAAAGATGTACCTTAAAGGTCAGGATAAGATGGCTGAACTGGAATAAAGTTTCTAGGTCCAATCTAATGCTGACGTGGTCAATGCCTGAAAAAAGAAGGAAAATTTAGTGCACGGTTCATTTAAGGAGTTGCTCAGAGGGTTTTCCCATTGTGGATTTAGAGATGCCTTTTCCAGCACAGCAGCTAGACCCTTTAGGGCCTCCCCTGTGCACAAACCCATGCAGCTGGACTGCTCTCTCTGCGGCAATACGATGTGCTCCCTTCCTGGCACTGGTACCAGCAATGCTGAGTGTCACTGTGGCTGCAGGAGGTGGTTGAAGGTCCTGCTCACATAATTCAGGCTGTAAATGGTGGTCATGGTAGGGTTCTGGGTTTGTGTGTTTCCATATCCAGTTAGGTTTATTTTTTAAAATCCATTCATGTAATTTACTTATTTCTAATAAAGAAAAAGAGAACTAATAAAATGAGGTGTTTTCTTCATGCTAAACAGAAACGTTAAACCCTTCTATAATTCCAGATGTGAAATTTGTCATGAACAGAGCTACTGTGCCAGGCATCTTCTCTCCAAAAAAACAAATATGGAAAAAAACCACTACAGAAATCACACATTCTCTGTAGAGAGTTGCAGGAGCTCAGCTGATATCCCCTTTGTGCACATCTACATGCACCATGTCAGGACTCTTACTGACCAGGCTGTGCATGAGATCTCATCCCAGAAGAAAGATAGAGAGAAGAAGGAAAGCTCCTTTCATAGCTGGCCCACAGGTTTATTGGCAGTGGTGTCCAAAGCCAGTGACAGATCCTTGCTAAACTTCATAAAAAAACCAAGGCTAATGGATTTTCAGCTGGATACTCAAAATAGAGGTAGCATACTATTTTATTTCTCTATGTCTTTATTTCCAACCATTCAAATGTTTTTCACGTAATCACTGTATGTCAAATAAGAGAGTCAATGTTACACCTCTTAGCATGTCTTCCCAGAGAAGCTGTAAGAATACTATCTTCATCAATTCTGGGATTGCACACATCCTCAGCAAGTTTCAGGGGACACAAAGCCTAGTGTGCTGTTGACACATGTGAAGGATCAGTGGCCTTGCAGAGGGACCTGGAAAAGCTCAAGATGTGGGCCCATGGGAGTCTGATGAGATTTGTCAAGGCCAAGTGCAAGGTGCTGCACCTGGGTTAGGACAACCCCCAGTATCAATACAAGCTGGGGGATTAAAACATCAGGAACAGCCCTGAAGGAAAGGAACTTGGGAGTATCAGAATGAGGGAGCTGATAGCCAGGATTTATTTAATTTTTCCTGAAATATTAGTGCTTTTAAAATAATTTTTTAAAATGGATATTTGTGTTTTACACACTGTCTTTACATTGCATCTGTAAGAAAATGTATATTTTGCCCCAAATGAAAATTTTCTGACAGGGCAGACAGCCTGTGGAAAATATATGGCTTTCATGTATAACCAAGCATTGCCACAGGTCCTCTGGACAGCTCTTGGAGGTTCTGAGTTTAAACTTGTCCATAGAAAAACAGACTTTCTGAAATCTTTTCTTGCTACACACAAATGTGTTTAAATCGCTCAGTATTACCTAATCAAAGAACAGATGCAGGTTTTTTTTCATCTCTTCATGAAGACAACTTTGTGAAAGCCAATTACATAAGGAAATCTCACAGTAACATTTGCAGTATTGTTTTCTCTAAGAAACTTACCATTTTCTGACTGCCACCATTTCTTTTTCCTTTCAGGCTCAAACGTTGTGATAACGTTTTCGACCATGTGACTGTTGTGCTGGGTATAGGGATTATATGGGTATCTGGAATCACAGAGAAAGCACTTCTCCTCAGCCTACAAAACAAAATGAGCAGAATAAAAGCTTAATTTGGATTCTCCAGCAAAAATTAAGTGGATGTACATATATTTATGCCATTGCAAGGCTTGAACCTGTTTTGTTTCTTTGGATGCCTGTGATTTTAATCACTCAGACTTTCCATATACAAGGCCAAGAGAACCAGCATATTCATGAAGCATGCACATATTAAGTGTTGGTCATGGTCTTCCCCAGGTACTTAAAAAAAATTAGACTTTTTCAGTTGTGGAGAAGGGATCCCAGTAAGACCAGGTAAAAGGTAAGTAGTTGCTTTGGGATGACACCACCACTGTGACTGTGTCAGTGTCTTTTGAAGCATAGGGAAACTGGGTAAGTTTAAAACCAATGCGAAGGAGGAAAATCAGGATAATCAATAGGATACAAGGGTCTTGTTTGAAAATGCTACAAGCAGAAGACGAAGATAGTCATGATTAACCAATATCAATTCTGAATGAGAGGCTTTGATAGGGAGGGCAAGGAGTTCCTGTTTAAGGTGATAAAATGCAGATTGAGTGGGAGACCAAGAAGAGGTGACAAGGTTAACATGCTGGGTTGGGATAACATGTGCTGGGCCATGTGGAGAGCCTGAGCAGCCATCACAGCCAGCAGGACCCTGGGAAACTGTTCAACAGGGTGGGCAGGGGTGGATGCACTGGGCAGACTGACTAGAGGAGATTTGGGCAGAGCCTGAGTGTGAGGATGAGGGAATTAGCCACAGCAGAAGATGATGCCCAAGCTATGTGCCTGGCTGCTGGGGAATGTGGCAGGAAGAAGAAGGGAAGACACAGCACCCCAGAGGGAGCTGAAGAAGGAGACATGAGTTCAGTGCTCATAGCTGGGAGGCTGAAAATGACCCAGAAGGAAATGGGTAGAGAAGCACCCCTCTTGGCACACTCAGGATCCACAGAGAAGAATTGGGAGTAGTTTTAACATTTTTGCATTATGAAATCACCTGGGAATTATTTGCATTTAAATAAATGAAGAGATATAGATTTACAGGTATGGTATAATTCATGTATTTTAAACATGGTAATTATGTATTATATTCAGTCATTCTATGCTACACTTGACAAGTGTATGAATGCACATTTTAGAAGATGAGAGTGAAATAAAAAAAATGCTCTATCATCTCATTTCACAAAGCTCTGGTAAGGAGAGCTCAGTCTGTTGAAGCAGTTGGAAGGACTGTGCACACCCACACTCTGGTTTCTATAGACATACAATAAGACATGGGGGCAACTTAAGGTTGTTCCATAAAAATCTGCTCCAAAAGACAAGTATGTGCATGTTCATGCCTGGCAGATCCCACTTGCCTCTGAATTGTTCAGCTTTATATTCTCCTCGACACTGAGTGCCCTGGCTTTTCCTTTCAAAACATGTGTAACTAGTAAATCCAATCATTTAGCTAAAACCAACTTAACCTATATTCTAAAATCAGCAATACATATTAAATACTAAAAATTATTTGTAGCACTTCTTTCCAAACACAAAGCAGTTGAATTTTATTTTTTCCCCCATCTGAATCCCAGCTAAATCCTGGTTCTTAGTAGCTTGGCACGTTGACTAATACCCACTTTCATGAGTAAGGATTGCTTTTATGAAGCCTGACACAGGTCATCAGGAGGGGAACTGGGAGAGGAAGAACTTTGGTCTACAAGATGCAAGATGCAAAACTTCCTGGTCTGCCTCCAGCAAAGAATTCAAAATGTGCTGGTGAGAAAGCAAATTGAAAGTGAAGTGGGACTCTGATGCACTGTAGGTGACAACACATTTAAGGCAAACTGATGGAACAGAACACATTGCCAGAGCATCATCTCTCTTCCCCCAAGCTCTGCAAAGCACCAGAGTGTAGTTTTCACCCTCTTCAGGAGATAACAGCCAGGGGTCAAGATATGTTGAAGCAGAAATCACAGGGATTATTGCAGAACAGCTGCTTCTTTTCATGAGTCTGTATTTACATAATTCAACGGATAAGTACAGGCAAGTGAAAATATTAATTTTTTATTGCTCTTTGATCTCCCCCTAGAAACCAAGAGTAAAAGGCAATCATCCAACTTTAAGGCCAAAAAGATGATTCAGGCTATTTCAACAAAGGAAAGAGATATTTACATTTTGAGAGACATTTTGCAGAAAACTGTTGATACAATGTGCAACTTGGAACAGTTCTTGGTTTCATGTCCATACTTTTACTCTGCAGATGTGTCACAACATTAAGCTAGAATGTCATGAACTGTAATTATTTTCAATTGCTTGTAAATTAAGCTGTATTTTAACTTCCTCTTCAGCCTAGGCTGTTATTTAGTGAAAATATTTCTATTTGTGACAATTTATTAGCTCAGTGTGGCCAAGTCCTCCAGGATGTACAACAGAGGAATCCTCATTTCTGCACACCTTCCATATACCCAGTGGTTCCCCCTCATCATTGCAGCCAGGGAACGAGAGGCACCCCTCTGGTCACCCACATTTTGGATCTGCTGACCCACCCAAACAGCCAAAACCTGGACCACAGAATTAGGTCTTCGCTTTTCAGAAGCAGCTTTCTGCTTTCAGCAACACTGGCCTTATTTCAGATCAAAAGATAGGAGAGCGTATGGTGTGAATCTCTTAACAGGCTGCCTCAATGCCATATGGACATGTCCTCCAGAGAAGGTCCTGCAGCCTCTGGGACTCCACTCCCCCTGCACTCACACACACAGACCATGGGCTTCACCTCTGGGGCCTGAGTGGGAAGAGAACTTGTGGAGCAAAGCTCCTTCAGAAATCCCTGTGCTCAATCTCTCTGCATCTCAGGGATGTTTCTCCCCCTTGAGAAGATATACATCACTGCGGGGGCTGTTTGCTGCCAAACCTCCCATATGTGTTGCAGTGAGGCACAGCCTTCCACCAGACTTAGTGTCATACTGTCTGATAGTTATTCAGATAACTCCCACAGGAACTTCATAGCCTGGGCAAATTCCCTGTACAGATGAGAATATGGTTAGTAGGAAGAGTGAGAATATGGTTAGTAAGAAGAGTTCAGTTTATTAAAAGAGAAAGAGCAAACCAACCTCTAGGTAGCCTATAATGCAGTACTTCTGAGGGCTGTTCATCCCACAGGTTGATGAGGCTGTCAGTTGCTTGCTGCGGCCCTGGAGAAGGTCCCCAAGGGCTGGGTGGCAGGACCCAGCATCACAGTCATGCTGTGCATGCTGGGGCCTTATCAGCACTGAACATAGAAGAAGATCAAAGAAAGATTAAATTGTTTTGTATAGCCAGTGGTACTATCCAGACAAAATCAGTTAAATCCCAACACATTGAGAAAACTCAGTTATCCTTTGCCTGTACCCCTTTTGTCCTTATTTATAAGTTTCTTAAAGAGCTTCAGTAATGAACACACCTGCTGCAAAATAATCATAAAAAATATAGCTAGTATATTGCAAATCTATGCTAAAACTTAATTTTTCAGCACATTATTCAGTAAAAATGCCAATCTTCCATGAGCAATAATTTATTATGCTTCCCACCCTGATATACTCATTGCCAGCAATCCTACAAAGGAACAGTGAGCATTTCAATTGACTCTGTGAACAGAGACAGATTTGAATTAATTCCACTTATTTCCATTGATTTCCAAGTTATAATGGTGGAAATGAGACCAGGATTGAGACCAGAATTTCCATCAGGAGTCCCCCAGATTTTCTTTTAATTTGCAATGAATCCCTAGTTCAGTGTCAGAACCCTCTCAGACTCCATGGAGTGGCCATTAATAAATAAACAGAGTAATTCTGAATTCTCTTAATAAATGCAGGACTTTTTGTTTGTATTGTCTGAAACAACTTTCAGTATCTTCCCCATTATATTAAGACTTCCCTTACAGGTTTTTTTCTTTTAAACAAGTTCTGTCCTGAAACTCTGAAAGGGAATGGGTACCTTGGAGGCTGTATCTGTTCAGCTTTACTTGGCTCAACTTGTTAGAAAAGGTGCAGTTAAAAAAACCCAACAACTGATACTTTGAAGGTTCCACAGAAAACTAGAAACACAACTACAACAGTAAAAATACAGCATTCTATAGCTAGATTTCAGTCTATGACTCAGGCTGCAATTCAGATGATGAGTGACACTTGACTCCTTAGGTGTAAAGCAGTGCCTGTTTAGTTAACCTGCTCTTTTCAGTTATACCTATCCACACTCATTATTCATTAGCAGATGTTGATTTCCCCTTTCAGGACCTGAATCAGACTCAATCACAACATGCATGTTTTCTTTGTACTTAAAGATTTCATATCACTCGTAGGTCCCTCACTGGCAGGAGAGTGGGGAATAAGGATTCACTGTCATGTGTTTCTCAACAGCATTTTCCTAAAAGAAGTGCTTTGACAAAATCTTGGAGATTTTGTAAATCATGATAAAATTTCAAAATTGGCCTGAGTAACTGTAGCATCTGTACTTACTGAGGTGTAACAGGATGGCCAGCCCCAGCCTCATGCCTCCCCATCAAACTCTGACTGGTACTGCTGCAAGAGAAAAACTGGTCCATTACTTGGTGCTCCCTCTCATCAGGGCACACAGGTGTACCCAGAACCAGCCTTTAGTAAAGGGACAGAGATGTAATAAAAATATAAAGACTAAAAGGAAACCCTGGCTTTGATTTAGTTGTAGAAAAAAAAAATCCCATGATGGAAGTTTTGGCACTGAAACTGGAATGAAAGCAGAGGAGCATTTCACAAGGGCTTTCAGAGTAGACCATGAAAACATACTCACACTTAGTGTAAAATATAACCAGAATGCTATCAGCTAAAATATTGTAGTATTCAAATAAAAGCAGCTCAATTCTAAGTATATTCAGCAGGGCTGTTTGCAGAGATCTAGCTCTTTTTCTGGAGGTTTTTGTTTGATTTCATTAACTTAAAACATAGTCAGAATCCTAATGAAGATGCCTCTGAGAAATGCCTGATGTCAGGTGCTATAAATTTTGTCAAAGATATGACATTAAGTGCATCTTAAGGTGTAGTGAAGAAAACCAGGTAATGTCAGCATCAGTGCAAAAAACTTATAC